TACCTGCACATACATGTTTATTGCAGCATTATTTACAGTAGTAAAAACATGGAACCAACCATGCTGCCCACCAAAAGAGAACTGGATTAAAAAATGTGGTACATATACATGATGGAATATTATACAGCCATAAAGAAGGACAAATTATGAACTTTGCAGGAACTTGGACTTAGAGTCTATAATACTGAGTGATCTATCACAGAAACAAATAACTGAGTACCACATGTTCTCACTCATAAGCAGACCTTGAACAATCATCATAATACTCTAAGAAAGGGATTGGCAGTAGTTAAAAACTTCTGGGGATCAGACTGGGATTGTCAGCAGTGGGAAACTGCCAGTTGGAGGGGAACACCTCATCAACAAGGGTACCTGCATAATGAACTCTTGTACATCTAATCCTGAATTGTACCCAACATCTTCAAAATTAAAAATGAAGAAAAACAGGATGTATGACGAAGTTAGGATAGTTGTAAAAAGAAGCTTCAAAAAATGATTTTGTTGTTATTTTTGTGTATTTAAAATTTAACAAAACATTTTTCTAATTATATGCTTAATTATATACATTCATGAATATTAAAATTATCTTGAAACATTTTAAAGTAAAACTTCCGCTAAGATTAATGTACATAATTTTCCATTAATTCAATCATCCCTGTTGTTTGCTTTATTCTGAGTAATTTTTAAAGATATAAACACACACAAAAGATCCCTAAGATATGTTTTCTCAGTCACTCACAGAACATAAGACTTGGAAAAGAAAAACTGTATGTTTAATGTCTCTGACACTGCTGTCATGTTTAGAAATGATTTGGACCTTTTTCCAGACTGATATCTTGGGTTTCTACAAGTTCTTTCTGCTTACAGTGTTTGTTGTCTGACTCACAGAGAATTGTTTTAGATCATATCCATCTCCACATATTATCTATTTGATAACAATGCTTTTTATATCTGGCTTCTATTTGAATGTGACCTTATTTTAATTTAAAATGCCATTTCTAGCTATTAAGGGTAGTTTTTAAATAATACTTTTTGTATAAAAAAGCTTTCCCAAGACCAATTCCAAAAATGTATAGTATGTATTAACTTTCCTTACATAAATTTTAATTGAATTTCTTTTTCTTTGTGTATTTTAATCTTACCTAGTGGTCTTGATAAAGCAGCGGTCTATAAGAAAGAAACCATGTTCCAGACCAAAATACTTGACTTTCTAACATCAAGTGGGATATCATGATTTAACCATCTGAAAAATAAATGCAATGCTCTGCCATTTCAACAAAATAAACACAATGCAAGTATTTAATATCCATGCTAAAGGCTCTAAAATTTTATTAAATACCGTATCTCTCTACAACCTTTTTCTGTAGTAAATTTGAGATCTTCTGCTTTTCAACAAATAATAATGAATATGTATAGGTAGTTTCTTAAAAGGTTACTCTCCTGGTAGAGTTTTGCACATTAACTTATGACTTATTTTGATTATGCTTTAGTAACAAGGGAACATCAGATTTCTTCTGCTGTACATTTACGACTTAAACAAAATATTTAAGCTGTTTAAACAGTCCCAGGAGTGAATGTTATAACTAAAGCCTATGTTGTGTGTTGATATTGCAAATAAGCCATGGTGTAATTAAAATTTCCATTTAATGTGACATTTAAGGTAACATTTGAATACTGAATTAAAATTTTAACTTCATCTATGAAATAGATGATAATTATATGTCTTTTAAAATGTTTTCATAATTGCATAAGTAATTTCTAACATGCGATTGGAATTATCACAATTATTTTCTAAAATAAAAACTATTGAATTAACATAAGCATAACATTTAGTAACTGACTTGCAACTCCAAAGCCAAAAAGCAACTTAAATTGAGGTATGGAGCATCCTGAAATTGGAAATAATGGAAATTTAGATGTATGCTCCCACAGTAAGTAACTAGAAAATAGGACTAAATATTACAAACAATTGTTTTCCAGAAATTGAACACAAATCAAAAAGATAAGAGAAATAAACAAGATGAGTCCTATAATTAACCATTTCCTGCCTAGAGGATCATTCAGATCATAGTGCGGGGAAAAAGATCATAAGCATGCAGGATTGCCACAAACCTTCAATTTGTGACAAACACAATAACTGCAAAGAACAATAAATTGAAGTAGAATAAATGAGGCATGCCTGCATAAACAATTATGAGTTGAAATAAAAGGATGATTTAATACACACTATGCAAAGACAAATCTGAAGAAAGAAGGGTTATATTAATAGAACACAGAGTAATCCAGGATAAGTCATAGTGTCTGATATATAGATGAATATTTGCAATAATAAAAGGGTCAATTTATTACAAAGACATAATAATCATAAACATATGTACCCAACAACAAAGCATCAACATATATCAAGCAAAATTTAAAACATATAGACAAATTCACATTATAATTGAAAAATTGGCCAGGCACAGTGTCTAACGCCTGTAATCCCAGCACTTAGGGAGGCTGAGGTGAGAGAATTGCCTGGAGTTCCAAACCAGCCTGGGCAACATAGCAAGACCTCGTCTCTACAATAAAATAAAATTTTAAAATGTGCCTGGTGTGGTGGCATGCATCTGTAGTCCCAGCTACTTGAGAGGCTGAGACGTAAGGATCACCTGAGCCCAGGAGGTCAAGGTGCAGTAGCCATGATCATGCCATTGTACTCCACCCTGAGTGCCAGAGTGAGATTCAGACTCAAAAAAAAGAAAGAAAAAAATAGAAAGAAAAATAAACATTACTTTCTTGGAAATTGGTGCAACAAAGAGAAAAATAGTAAAGATGAAGAAGACAACGTTATCATCCACCTTGACCTAATTGACATTTATAAAATACTCCACTCAATGTCAAAAGAACACATATTCTCTCAAGTACACTATGCAACTTTAAAATCAACTATCAACTGGACCACAAAGTAAGTTTTAGTGAATTTTACCAGATTGAAATGATATGGAGTATGTTCTTTTACCATAGTGTAGCAAGCGAAAGAATCAACCACACATATATATATCAGAAAATTACTAATCTGTGTGGATCGATAAGAAATTATGAACTTCACAGCAACTTGGATGGACTTAGAGTCTATAATACTGAGTGATCTATCACAGAAACAAAGAACTGAGTATCATATGTTCTCACTCATAAGTAGACCTTGAACAATTATCGAAATACTATAAGAAAAGGATCGACAGTAGTGGGAAACTGCCAGGGGAAGGCAGGCACACCTCAACAAGGGTACCTGCATAATGAACATATGTATACCTAACCCTGATTTGTACCCCACATCTGGAAAATTAAAAAAAAAAAAATTAAAGAAAAAATCACAATGGAAATTAGAAAATATTTTGAAGGACTAAAAATGCAATATAAAATGAAGTTTATATTGTAAATACAACTAAAACTGCATAAAAGAAAATGTATTGCTCTTCTGGATGAGAAAAAATATGTAATATTGAACTATCATATACTATAAAAATAGAAAAAAAGAGTATATTAACCTAAAGTAACTAGAAGCAAGAAGCTATGAAAGTATGTCTAGAAAATAATGAACTGAGAGAAAAAAATAAAATTCTAAATTGTATTTTTAAAGATCACTACAATTAATAAATTCTAGATTGATCAAAAATGAGAGAAAAAACACAAATAGCCATTAGCAAAAATGTAAGAAGGGATTAACATAGAAAATCTTAACATTGATTTTTCTATCAACTTTTAATGAAACAAATTTTATTTTATGAAACAAAACTGAATTTGTAATTAAAAATATTTCCTATAAGGAATTCTCCAGTTCCAGATTGGTACACCAATGATTTCTACCAAACATTTAAAAAGGAAATTAAACCAATTTTACCCAAATTTTGTAGGAAAATAAAGGAAGAAGGAAGAAGAAAATAGAGGAAGGAATAGAGGAAGAAGGAACTTATCTTAAGCTGTTTTTGAAAATACCTGAAATTTTGTTTAATGAGGCAATGGTAAGACATACAGACTTGAAAATGATTGACGCCGGGCTCAGTGGCTCAGCCTGTAATCCCGCACCTTTGGGAGGCTGAGGTGAATGGATTGCCTGAGCCCGCGGGTTCGAGACCTGCCTGGGCAGCGAGACCTCATCTCTACAATAAATCAAAAAATCAGCCGGGCGTGGTAGCACATGCCTGTAATTCCAGCTACTCGGAAGGCTGAGGCGGAAGGATCGCTGGAGCCCAGCAGGCGAGGCTGCGGTGGCCGGGAGCAGCCACTGTACTCCAGTCTGGGCGACCGAATGAGACTCCAACTCAAAAGAAAAAAAAAAAAAGAAAAGAAAATGATTGACATGAAGGAAGCTGTATTATTCTGGTCACAGTATCCTAGAAACGAAAGCCATGCTATTAAGGGCCATACAGGAATGCATGCATGTAAGATGAGTGGGCAGAGAAAGAGGACCTGAGAGAGACTTCTCCTGGGAAGGAACAGGAGAAGCAAGATAAGCAAGCTAGGCAGGTTTAAGACTGAATAGTGTGAATAGTCTGAATAATTTCAGTGGACTCTGGATTTCAGTAGGTCCTTAGTTATTAGTACCAGATCCCATGGTGATTAGGCCACAGGGATAGTGTCTCAGACAGCAAGAGCTTGATAAAAGAAGATAAGTGAGAGTATGGACTCAGGATTGGTTGGCTTAACTACCAAAGACTTGCTCATAGGCAAATTGTCTACTATCTCTAGGAGTTAACTGACCCTGAAATAAGCAATCCCTCCCTGGCTCTACCAAATCGCAGATGCCAGAGTCAAGAATACAGAAAATACACATTATGGGCATATAACAAAATATTGCTCTGTATCCTATAAACATGTACAATTATTGTGTGTCAACTAAAAATAAAAGGAAAAAGCACACAAAAGAATATCCTGGCCCTACTCATACTTCAGTCCCTTCAAACAAGAGACAGTAGTTGCAGCTCCCAGTACAGAAACTCATGGTCTTTCTGAAACAGATCCATCTGAATGGAGGAATTGAGGAGGGTGGCAATGGGCACAACCACAGCAGTTTCTGTGAAGTCCAGCCCATGACCGTGGATCAGCTGTCCAGCTGAAGAAAACGTCCTGGGAGTACACCACTGCATAGGACAACCAGATGGGGATCTGGCATATAGCCAGGGGCCAGAGGACAGGGCAGATGGAAGTGGGGATGCCAGGATGACTGGATTCATCCTGGTACATTGACCATACTGTAGGAACCTGGAGGACAGAGTGAACACCATCCCTTGATAGGTAGAGGCCTGGCAGTAGACTCCAGCCAAGGTCAGCAATGTGGGGTCTTTCCACTCAGCTGTTGAGGGAAGCACAAATCATGCTGCCTTTGTTATGCCAAAATAGTACTTGTGGCAGCAAGTACCAGGGCTGGATTCTGCTGGCCCCTGGAGACACTTAATAAACGCTATTACTGGAAACCTAAAATTCATCAGCAGTGACTTCAATGATATATTGTTCTTCAGTACTGAAAACAGAAAATGATTAGTAAAAGTCTAATATTTGAGGGAAGAAAGATGGATGATTTTAAAGAAAAGCAACAACATAAAATATAGCTAATACAGAAGATAGTATCAGCCTCACACACACAAAAAAACAGATGAAAACATTGCAAACCAACAAATAATAAAACCCAAAATTTCTTTAACAAACTACCAAATTCAATCTAGTAATACATAAAAACAATAATACACATGGCCATATGGGGTTTATACCAGGAGTGCAAAATTGGTTTAACATTTTCAAATCAATACATACTGAAAAAAATTCAAAATATTCTTGATGAAAAATAATTACATGTAAATGAAATTTTCTCAACTGGTTAATGGGCATCTATAAAATAACTGTCATTAATATCATACTTAAAGAAAACATTTTTTTTCTATGTCTAGAAGTTGCTCCTATGGCTTCTCTTCAGCATTGTACTAGGTCCTAGCCAACATGACAAAGCAATAAAGAGAAATAAAAGGTTTATAAAGTGAAAAGAAATAGCTGAAAGTTTTTGTTTGGCAGACTGTATAATCATCTATGTAAAAATATTCTAAGGACTCTACAACACTAATTGAATTAATAAACATGCAACAAGTTCACAGTCAATATTTAATATTTGTATTTCTGTATACTGTACTAGTATCTATCAGAAACAAAAAGAAAAACATAGCCTAGAGATAAATCAAATGACATATATGCAAGACTGATTTATTTAGAATGACAAAATTTAGAGAAAATAGTTCAGAGTAGCTTGATATGGTTAAGATTTTAATTCTCCAAAAATTGATCTGTAGATTCAGTGCAATCCCAATCAAAATCCCTGCAGTCTTTGTGTGTATACGTGTGCGTGTGTCTGTTGTGTGTGGAAATTGAAAAGTTTATTTTTAAATGTATACAGAAAGGCAAAAGTCTCAGAAGTTAAAACTATTTTATAAAAGAACAGAATTAAAGGAGGAATGCTACCTAATTTAAAGCATTGTTATAATCAGCAGTGATCTAGGAAGCTGCTAGAGCCTTATTTTGGCATAAGGATACACACAGATCTATTCAACCATGTAGAGAGTCTGAAAATAGACACATACATATTTGGTAGTTGATCTTCAGCAAAGGTGCCAAAATAAGCCAATGGGGAAAAGACAACTGTCTTAACGAGTTATGCTTTAACAACAGATTACACATTTGGAAAAATGTGATCATTGACCTTGACCTCATTACACCAAAAAGGTAACTTCAAATAACTGATAGACTTTTTAATTATAGAAACATGAAATTAGTATGATTTGTAAACTTATAATGATATAATTATAAAAATTTGTGGATAAGACACTTAATTTTTTAATTTAAAACTACTGTTATTCAAAAGTAACCATTAAGGAAATTATTAAAAGCCAAACACTGGAATAAAATATTTGTAATACATGAATATCACAAAAAAGTTGTATTCAGAACTTATTAAAAAACTGCTGGAACTAAATCAAGTATATTGACTTGATATTAACAATTTAATATATATTATATACTATTATATATATTATAATATGCAATATAGTATATTAACAAACCAATTAAATGCCAAAATATTTGAAATGACATTTCTAAAGAGAAGTAATACCAAAAAAAGCAATTAGTACATGAAAAGATGGAAAATGCAAATTACTACCACTATACACCCATGTGAATTGGTAAAATTAAAGACTATAACAAATGTTGGCTAGGATGAGAAACAGCCAGTATTGTCTTATGTTTCTGATGTGAAAGGAAATGGTACAAGCACTTTAACTTAATAAAATCAAAACTTTTTTCTATACATGTAAAATATGACTCAGTTATTCCACTCTTGGGTATTCAATCAAGAGGAAAAAGAACATGTTCACACAAACAATTGCACACAATATATATGGAACTTTGTTCATAATAGCCTCAAAGTAGAAACAGTTCCCATGGATATGCTCATGGATAGGTAAATCCACTTTATAGGTATACCTATAAAAATTGATATTTTTCAAGAAACACAGATACAATATCATGTACAAATTTCAAAAACTTTATGTAGAAGAAAATAGAGACAAAAGAAATACTTGTAATGTGATTCTACTTATAAGAAACACTAGAAAACATAATCAATAGGGACGGAAAGCAAATTAGTATGTGCCTTGGGTTAGAGGTGAGGGAGTGATTTGGAAAGTGGCACAAGGTAAACTTTTGGGGTAATGAAAAGATTTTATATGTTCTTATGGTGTTTACATGAGTGTCATACAATTGCCAAAAAGCTCAACTAATATCAGAGAATATTTGCACCTGACAGAGTCCAATAGGAAATGAAAGCTTTATTCAAAATCATTGTAATAGGGAAAAAGAGGAGTCAATTACACTGAAGGAAAAAAAAACCAAAAAGGTAGGAGAGAGATTTTAAGCACTGAGGTCCACTAATGGAAAAATACTGTAAGATATTAGAATGTAGGATTGTCAATATGGTTAGACCATCTGTGTTTGCTGCTTTATGCTTAGGAAATCTAGACTCCTACTCTCTTACAGAAACTAGGAGATGGGCTTCTTTCTTTCTTTCTTTCTTTCTTTCTTTCTTTCTTTCTTTCTTTCTTTCTTTCTCTCTCTTTTAATATGGAACGCTTCACACATAATCTTTCTTAGTTATCGTACTTTCAAAGAGACGGCACCCAGGTATTAGAGAAATATAGTTCTGAGTTGAGCTGGTAAGAGGCTAGGGGATGATTTACATCTTAAAAGGACAGAGAAATAATTTACAATTGCAAGTATCCTAAAGTAAATTGTTTAAAAATAGGAAAGTCAGAAGTCAATAATCAGGAAGAAGCCTGTCGAAAGTTTAGTCAAGTTAAGAGGAACATTAAGGTCATCTTAATAACTGTACCTCTACTATTTTTCTCTCTCTTTTTTTTTTTTTCCTATACACAATACATGCCTATGATAAAGTTGAATTTATAAACTGGGCACAAGAAGAGATTAACAATAACTAATAATGAAATATAACAATTACAAACAATATGCCAACATCACTACTCTTCCACTTTGGGTCATTATTAACTAAAGTCACTTGACCACAAGTACTGCTATTCCATGACAATCAATCTGATAATGGAGATAGCTACTAAGTGACTAACAGGTGGGTAGCTAATGCAGTGTGAGTGTGCTGGACAAAGGGATGGTCACATCCTGGGCGAGATAGCATGAGATTTTATTAGCTATTCAGAAAGGCACGCGAATTAAACATTATTAATTTTTTGTTTCTGGACTTTTCCATGTAATATTTTTTACCACAAGGGACTGAAACTTTGGAAAGCAAACCAAAGATGAGAGGAAAATTCTGTATACCTAAAATGGATGTGTGAATTGTACTTTATATTTCAATAAAATTTATCAAAAAAGAACAATAAAATGCCAGCACAAACCCATTAGAATGGCTAAAATTGCAAAAACTGAAAATACCAATGCTACTATAATGTAGAATAAACTCATTGTATACCTCACAGCAACATACAATACGTTCCTAGCTGGCAGTTTTAGCAGCTTCATATAATGTTATTATTTGATCCAGTGATTCTATCTCTAGGTTTTTCCAAATGAAGATGGATGTCCACATAAAGACTTATACAAGAATGTTTACTTACAATAGCAAAAATTGGAAAAAACACAAATACCCAGTGGTAGGCAACTCAATAAACAAGCCATGGAAAGTGATGGGGGAATAACAATCATAGAGAGTGTTTAAATAATAATTAAAAGCAAATTATCCTGCTAATGCAGAAAACCTCTCAACAAAGGCAGAAAAAAAGTTTTATTACTGAATAAGTATCAATAACTAATTGTGATTTGTATCAGAAGCAATTCCTAAAGAGATTACAGTGAGAAAAAGTCTCGTCACTTGATATAGCCTGTCATATACAATCCACTACATACATGTTAATTGTATTAAAGGAAAGAGTAAAACGCTTTTGAGAAACAAAAAGCTATATCTTGGAGCCAAATGCCTAGACTTTAAACTCCCATGGAGGCAGGGGAACAGATTTCACTCTTCTAGAAGCTTTCATTCCTAAGAGGAGACTAGTAGGTATCCAAAAATATTCCTAGGATGCAAAACTGGCCAAATAATTATTTAGCTATTTTAAATTAAAGTTTTATATACATCTCAGTGAGACAAGGATAGCACTTAGAATTTCAAATTCTCTAAACACAACCCTAAAAAGAAGGGGGTGAGTAGTTATTATTCTCTTTCTGGAACAAAGAACATTCCCTTTTTCTTTTTCTTTTTTTTTGAGTTGGAGTCTCACTCTGTCGCCCTGACTGGAGTGCAGTGACCACTCCCGGCCACCGCAGCCTCGACTTGCTGGGCTCCGCGATCCTTCCGCCTCAGCCTTCTGAGTAGCCGGAATTACAGGCATGCG